CGTTCCATCTTGTGTGCTGTCATCAAGGAAATTTTATACCCGACACCAGTGAGTTATTATATTTTCGTCGTACACAATGATCCTGACGTTCCCGCCACCACTTATCCACAGATTCAGGAAACAGGCAAGACGAACGCTTGTTCTATGTCTGGCTGACGAAGTGTGTTTGGTTTGATGCAACCACCACTAAGACGAACATCGCGACAGCTCCGCAGGCCAACAATCACCAAGGGCGTCGCCGTGACTTGGAAGCCCAACGCTTTTTCTGAAGGGCCTTTGCGAGTGAAACAAATTCATAGTCACATTGCTTTCGTTTGAAAGTTCATGTTCCAGTTCTGGGGTAATTATTACGGTGAGCTCACACCAAAGGGAGGCACTTTAGCTGGGTTTCGCTCTTAATGGAGTTCATCAACAGTGCATATCAAGTGGCCGTGTCGGGATTTAAACCCCGGACATCTAGCATGCGAGGCGAGCGCGTAACCAGTGCTACCCTTTTTTGTGGACCCACCGGAATAGTTACGCCGGAATAGGAATGCAAGTGTTTAAACGGGACTGTTGTGACTACGAACAAAATACCTATCCCGCAAAACCCCAAAATTGAAACAAATTTCTTTCCGTCAAAGTTATTCATTTTCTTCCGTACGTGTTCAGACCAGAGATAAACCCAGTCTACCGTCAGGTTTAAGCTAATCTCTCTTCTCAGTTACTGGCACGCAGTCAACTTTGAACTTGCTGTGCTATGCCGGGCTCCGTGTCTGCACAATGAAATTCGAATTTCGAAAGCTGCGACGAGTCCCTGACGAACAAAAGACACAGGCAATTTAGTTCAACTTACGAGTTTAAACTTTTGAGTCCCATTTGGTTATCCCGGAGTCACAGCGATGCTAGGAAGGTGTTCCAAAAGACTATTTCCGCTGGGGTATGATTACTTCAGTGAACACCGAAATTGCGTGAGCTGCGAGATTATATATGGATTAGGTTGATTTATCGTTTGGGCAAACGCAACAAAATGCAGAATTTTGGCGCCAAAGTTTCATTCCTATTGCGAGTGTTTGTAGCTAAGAGCGTTGCGCGGCCAGTGGCTCCAGTGCCACGACTTCAGAAGTGACTTCGCACACGTTCGCTGAGGAACTGGGGGCTGCACCCTTTTCGCCCTTCACAGTGTTTGAGAAGGCATTAGATTAACACATGTTGCATAAATATGTGGTTGTGGTGCATTCGTTCAATAAACATAGCAACACCGCGGTTTTGCTTCAATAACGGGTGTACCATGAGTGCATCAAGCGGCCTGCAGGACGTAGGTTCCGCTTGACCAGGTGATTAAACGTTGTAGGGCACTGATCGCATAATCGTCCAGTGCGTCATCTAGGTTCGTTTATATGTCCGCCATGATCAATGTAACGTTCGTCCTAGAACATTCAGCAAGTTATATGGGAATACTTTGCTGTCTAGCGACAAAATTGCGCTATTTTTACAGGCAAGACTGAATGTTGCCATCGCAGATTTATCTCGTAATAGAAATAGTCGAATAAAATTATTTATGGGAGAAAACGTATGCATATTTTGTAACCGCGTAGTTTCTAAAATGTGCGGCGAATCATTTCAACAACAAAGATATCCACGATTTCCGTCCATCGTCAGCGTTTCATCCTTCTCCGCGATTCACAATGTCTTGTCACACTGGGGGATGTATTAACAATCGGCGGTGTATGATGACCTTGGATATTCGCTCACTTGATGTATCCATGTAGATAATATGCATAATAACTCATTATACACAGACATTCTACACAATGAGCTGGCAACCCTAAACTTGTGGAAGCTTTTGAGAAATCCATTCCATTTTGCCAATACTGAGTGGCGTGAGGATCGCGAAGTATCATCATCTATTAGATCTGACGAAAAACAGTTGTCCTTCGACTTTTTTCGCGGCGTTGCCAAAAAGTGAAAACCAGGAATAGTCCAACCCAACAGGAACAACAACAATGCTTTTTACTTGATTTTCCGAATTCACAACAGTGCTCAGAGCCACCGGCGGGAGATTTCACATGTCAGTTTAAGCTCCGCCGAGACATAGTGTCGCATAGTGATGAACCTTGCTCTCATCCGATTCCGGACCGAATCTGGAGGACCTCAAGTGTGGATTTTCAGAAATGTTCAGCTACAGTCGCCAATTTTGAAGATACCAGCTTCTGTAAGGCGTTAAACTTGACCATTTTACAGTATGTTAACGAGAGGACGCAATGTCTTCTGAAAATTAACTGCGTGCAGTTGTTTAGCTAATTTTTTTGCGTCGTCTGGAAACAGACTCGCAGTTTTTCTCAAAATATAACCCAAAGTGGACTGGTATTCCATAGAATACGGAACCGTCGTAAGTCAGAAATCCTTCGACGGGATACACCAAGACAAACCAGATGTGTGACCTCTTCCTGAAAAAGAAAAATGTGCTGCTTAGGCACACGAGACATCGCAGAAGAAACGTGCCGGCTGAAATCTGATTAAGGGACAGCAACTTAAGACCCACAAGTAAACCCATTGTGGTATCTGAAGTCTACAATATACACTGTGCAGACTTGTATTCCTCTCCAGCGATGACGTCACACCCAAACTCCCCAAGGCGTGACTACAAATGGCCTATAGAAAGCTTGGTCTTCACAGAGGGTATTCGTCAACTCTTGCGAAAGTCAAGCCCGTTCTTCGCGCTCAAGCAAGATGATGTCCACCCAAGTGATCTGAAGCAATCGTAGCTGGAATAACTTCTACCTGCTGTTTGTTCGACGACGACGACATTCCTCCTGTTTGTAGGGAAGCGATTGTCATATCAATCTACAAACTGGTGACCTGCTGCTACAGGCCTATTAACCTAACTGGCGTACAGTGCATGATGACTGAATGCGTCTTGAAACGGGTCGTCTAAAATTGCTTCATCAAAAATGACACAGCACAACACAAATTACTCCNAACACAAATTACTCCCAAATCGCTCTTGCGTGACGAACATGCTTGCATTTGTGGACAATTTAACCCAAACTAAGGATGAAGGACTCGTATCGGTTGCAATATATTTCGACATTTTAAAGGCATTCGACTGAATCCCATACATCCCACGGCCCTGAAAACTCGAATTCCAGGAGTTCAAGTCGAAATTCCGTGCCAGATTAAAGCGTTTTTTCAGACAGAAGTTTTTGGGTGAAGCTGGGCACGGTCTACTCTCTTCCAGTTACGGTGCACATTATAGTTCCTCAAGCCTGCGTTCCGGGACCGTTCAAATTCTGATATACACCAGCATCCTTACAGACGTTTTTTCGAACCCATTTATACTTTTTTGAATGACTTAAAATCCTGAGGTTCCAACGCTGAATCACTCTAGATGGATGTACACGCTGCAAAGCCGTGGACTCCGGTCTGACATGTTCACCTGAATGGAGAATAGCGCGTCCATATTTCAGTGAACGCATTTTTCGTGGAAAGCGAGAATTGACCCATAGACTTTACGAAGTTATATGCCAAAAAGTGTTTATGTATCTAGCGATTATCAAAAATACTTGGACACTGCCAATGAATTTTCTTTTCACCACATTTTTATTGGCTACATTATGTTCTTGCTGGGGTAATCTGCAGCTGTCCCTCCTCCATTTTTATACTGATCAGATTCATTGGTGGCTTCGGTTTACATTGGGTATGCTCAGTGACTGCTAAATTTCATGATTCTCCTCCTAAAGTTGACGCCAAATTCCAGGCTTTCAACATGCTCAAAAAGGGCTAATTTTAGGGAACCTACAAGATCGCAACCAAGTCACAAATATAAATGGTCGACCGTGTGTGATCATCGAACACCGTAGATAGTTTCTTCACTGTGTGTCACGGCTTAGAACCATTTCTTCCTGCGGACTAATCGACCATAGTTCGTCTTTGCGTATATGGATTTCGGTTAGGCGGTTAGGCACACGGTAAGCTGATTTATCCGTTTTTAAAATGGGTTCAAAACGTAACAGCTATCGTACAATCCAACCCCAAATTATAACTGATTATTACCCTGCTTGAAGACCTGTGTCTGTTACGGTGGGAGCTAGGTTTGTTTATTTACATTTCACACAGTACAGACCACCGGTTCCTCTGGCAAATCCGATTATCCTGCTTGTTAGCCACCGCAAAACTTCAGTTGCCTAACCTGCCAACATGGTTTGTGCAAAGGAAGAATTCAACTCTAATTGTCCCGTTCGATGAAAATCGGTTTCGGACGTGCAAAAATAAGCGACCACAGCGTCCAGGACAAATTGAGCGATGAAGAAATTTTCCTTTGATTTTCTTCCAGAAATTATTTGATAAATTACAGAGTAGGCGTCGCCCATGCCATCCAGGTAACCAAGCGCTAAATATAACGCAGAATATTCGGCCAAGGGGCTTCAATTGCAATGAGTCAGCAACCCAACTCATCATGTGCAATCCGCCTGAAACCACTCAAATTTCTTCCAGCGTACAAACGGCGCCGTGGACGGTACTGCAACCATTCTTCCGCGAAATAGTGAACCATCGTTCAGGGGAAACAGTTTGGAGTTATTTGGGCCATAGAGACGACGGCCACATTTATACCACTCTACCAGTACAAGGAACGGGCGACCGGAATGGCCTTCATAATTCGGTTACTGATGCTCGATCTGATGAATGCTTCAGGACAGGGCCTTTCAGGTGAACGACAGCCACTGACCGACAAGAACAAAACCGATCCGGGAAACTTGGGCAAAAGCCTCGATCCTGTGTATCAATCCGTGAATCCGTGAATCCGTGACAACGGATTTCCATGCTGTTCGGAGACGTCTTGCTGAGGCTGCATTGCGCCAATCCTCCTGGACAATCACCCGCCACTGAGTATCACTTAAAACCGAACCGTTGGTAAAGAGGTCATAAAGGGATTGTCAAATAGCTCCCAACGTATTTGTCATTTGGATTTGAACTAATTTGCTTGGTGGCTGGTTTCGCCCAAACAAAAGCAGCGGTCCTTTCGAGATTCAGGTTCGACGCTGTTTTGTTTCGCGTCTAGGGGTTTAAGCGTTCTGGGCTATCGGTTTTTCAGTTCCGGGAGAGGTTACAGTAAGTTTGGTCGCGTGGCATAATTTAAACATCTGATCTTACATAACCGTCGCTCGGATTATCACTGAATCCTCTCAGTTTCAGATACCGGCCAATGGTTCTGGCCCAGCGACAGAAAGAAGAGCTGTAAGCTATTAACCTGCTTCCTGACGTATCTGGTTTAGGAATAGGGCCATTGTGGATTATCTCAGTTCCAATGGATATCACAACGCGCTTACCGCATTCAAGGAGGAAGCGAGTATCGTATGTCTTCAATTTTCGTTAAATTTTCCTATAGGAGGGTGAGATGGATAGAAAGTTTTCTGGATTACTCGAGAAAAAGTGGACTTCTGTTATACGACTGCAAAAGAAAGTACGTTTATTTGCTGTGCCTTCTGGTAATCTGAGGTTGGAAGTCGCGATCTGCGTAAGCCGGCACGTGACGAATTTGGTTCTATATCCTTAACTTTCGTTTATATCTCCAGCCATGTGAGTTCTATATCATTAGAAGAGTTGCAGTTAAGCAGAGCCTGTTAGGTTAATATGTGTTTCCAGCCTAGGAATCGAATAAGTTAGAGCCTACCGATAAACGTCAGGGGCCAACACGCTTTACTTCAGATTGTCCTCAAGGCAACAAGCCTCCCATGTTAACTGTCCAAAAGGTTGCGATTCCGCGTGTTCTGCACAGCTATCTAGATTAATTATGACGCTATTAGTCACCACTGGAGAGCAACCGTAAGCTTCCATGCCTGCTTGTTCCGTTTCAGTTCCGGAATTGGGGAGGACAGGAAAGTTGCAGGTTTGTCGAGCGTTACCAGAACGTCATCATCTAGAGGTGTAATAAACTCGTCCACGGATAATGGTTATAGTTGTTATGGCTACGTTGGGGGACGAGATTTCTCAGTGGTTAGAGCGCGAATGTACTGACCAAAAGGTACATGGTCCGAACCCGAAGTCTACCTCACAACTTGCCGTGTCTAGGCTTGGGTAACATGGCCCTCGTTTTTCCTTTGGGCGGCGTGGTACCTAGGCATCGAAAAGGTGTTACAGCTGAACAATTACCTTTACAGCTACGTTCGCCAGCAAGCTGGGGATGTAGGGGTGGATAGCTACACATTGAAGACGGTGGCTGTTACAATTGTTAGGTTATTAACAACTTTTGTGTTATCGTCTACTGTCTCTAACTGGCAGGCTTTCTGTTAAGATCCACTTTTGACCAGATCATAAAAGATGGTTTGTATAGTAGTTTTGTTCCCACAGGTTGCTGCTGGTTCCGATTTTGTCCAATCTTCATGTATATATACGTATACGTGTAAATAAGCCCCTAAAGGGTGTTGCAGACGAACGATTATCCTTTTATTATTACCTTGGCTATCATCATCGTTGACAGCAACACCAGATAAGAACACCTGTGTTTCAGTGGTGTACAAAAATGTCGAATCATTTCAATGACGAAAGAAGATATGGCTACGACAAGCACCTAAGGCTAGCCTATAACAAATATTTTAAGTGCATACACCTCCAACACTCAGTCAGACGACTGGGATAGAAACTAACAGCATGCGCGCCACTGACACTGGTTAGCGGCCCCATTGTTTAGTATCTCCAGCCAAGCACATGGAGGAGCAGAGGGACACCATCCTGAAGGCGGACAGCACCAACAGTGCCTCCACTTCTCGCAATTCTTCGTGCCCTTCTGTCATGTCGAATTATCTAACTCTAGGTTCCCGGCACTCCAAACCAGTGGTCAAAGCCCTGAAGATGTCTTAAATCCCACGAGGCCGAAAAACAACCCAGCGGGTACTCTAATCTGACGCGTCCTCTAGGAGCCAGTGAGATGGCATTTTGAAACCACAAGCCACGCAAATCGGCAAATACAATTCTGGCCTCCGACATTTGTGCCTTCACTTCGTACGTCATACCACCGTCGGAATCAATGCAACTTCTAAGATACGTATTGTGTCCCACAACCAGCATTACTCCTTGAATTGTTAAAGGTGTGCTCAAAGCCTTTAGTCCTGAAACACAACTTCGCTCTTTTTGAGCGCGAAGCACGTGCCAAAAGACTAGATTACCTTGGTCAGACTTTTCACTAATGCTTGCGCTTCTTTTGTAAAAACCGAGAACACTATCAGCTACATATTCCAGACCGGCAAGGATCTTGCTCGGAGATGTCTGGACACCGGGGTTACAGTGATCTTTCAGTGTTCATCCCACTGTTTCATCGATATCGAAAGTCGGGGTGTGGGGGAGGGGTGGATATCCTTGCCGGGCATCACTTGTTGTGGGAAGACTTTTGGATAGCTCCCATACACTCACGCTTAAAATGTGTAAATACGAACAGTGCATGATACAAATTCTTGGGCATACCTTGTTGTGCAAGCGTGCTGAGGTGAACTAACCGGTCGACAGTATGGAACGCACTTTTAAAACCAAGGAACGCTTGACTGACAGTGAAAATGTCCACAGAGCCCCTTTCCGGGGGTAACCATACTTTCGGTTCTCGGGTATCGTTTCCACGCGCGTTCGCAAGACCACGTAGAATAATGTTAAAGAAAACCTGGTTACAACGGGGGTCAAGTTGATTCCTCAGTGGTGTTCGCACTCACTTCGAGCACTCTCTTGGAAAAGGGGCACTACTATCGGCCCACCCTAGTTGGTTGAGACGATCCCTTTCATCTAGGCAGGGTCTAGTAAGTTGAACAAACACCGACTAGGGATTCCATCCACAATTTTGAACAGGCCGGGTGGGGGTTGTCAGGACCAGCGGCCCGGTGACACTTGAGGGAAGAGGGCATTCCTTTATTTCCGAAGCCGTTGGAGGTTCCAAGTTCAAGGCTCAGGGCTGCGTTGCCCGTTGGGATTCCGACTAAGCAGCCGAAGGTGGCCAGTTGAGTTGTTCAATCCAGCGATTCGGGCGCTTATTTTTCACAGACAGGCGAGTCATTGGTAGCGATGATTGTTTTGCTCACCGAAGTATTCTTTCGACCGGTGCGCGCATCAGTTGGAACAGTTCACGCACATTCCCATTGTTTCTCGCCTGAATCTCTTCAGCTGGTTGGATACACCGAGCTTCTTGAACTGTGCAGATGCTCGTTTACGCTGAAAGTCTGACAGCTCATCGACCGGTAGTGTATTCTGGACCAGGAGGAAACGTGCCCGAGCTTTGAGAAGGTCTAGGTTTGCTCGAGATTCAGTGCCTATGTCCGTTTGTTTGAACCACGCCGCAGGCACAGTACCTAGCATATCGGATGGTTAATTGTAGTAACTTCGTCTAAGAGTTGATATTAGAAGGCGTCTTGTCCGAACGGGACTTCCGTAGGTGATCTTGGTAGATTTGCTTCACATGAGGATCTCAGAATTTCTCAATGGACAGATGGATTGTGTGAATTGTTGCGGCCCTGGAAACGCAACAAAGAGTGAGGAACCAGCACTTAATTCGAATTCGCATAGCTATCCTTGAGCGAGGGTGTCAAATTGATGGTTTCGGCTTATGTCCATTATCAACATGGTCCATGTGTATCGAAAGTTGGCTCGCATACGCTGTCGCTGCAGCATTTAGCCGAACGGTTTTTTGGGTGTATTAGTACATATCAAGTGTCTGTGATCGGCATATAACTACAACATGCATTCACCGTTGTCCATGGGTGTCGATTCCAGTCTTACATGACCATGCGATTAAGCATGTGCAGAGCTTATCCTGTCTGCATGTGCAGTAATATCCCCGGCGGGCACAACGATAAATGAGCTCTTTTTCCCTCGCAACCAACGCTCCAGACGTCGTAAGTGCTCTGTTTGATTGTACCACAGGGCAAGTCTGCTGTGACAGGTACTGCTGCTGCAGATACAATAAACATGTAGTGATTATTGGTTACTCATATGTTTTCAAAGGAACTACACGGAGGCGACCATCAGCGGGCAACTATTCAGCCATAGCCCATTCACTTCGGTGGCTTAAAACCAGTAGCAACAGCTTTTAGATCTCCACATGTGCGCAACTGGAAGCTATCGGAATCCAATCCGTAGGTCTTGAATCCTCGTTTCAGACAGACAGCACATGTCAATAGATTCCGAGTCCAGCCTACATGGAAGAGCAATCTACCGTCCAACTTGTTTCAGAACACTAAAGGCCATCAGAAGAACTGATCATAGGTGTTTTAAGTGTGACTTCGAAGTGTCTGCAGCCATGGCGACCAAGTTATCTGTAGGTTTTGCATATTGTGGCAGTGTGAAATAGCAGGAAAAGGGCGTTAGCAGTAGCCCGTTTCGCTCACCGGCCCCGCTGTATGCGGCAAGTAGGGCTAAATGGATGATGGCACCACGCGATGGCCTAATTGTGACATGAGATTATTTGTAAGTGTGCAGTTCATCATCATTGCCGGCTGTAATAACCGCGTACTTGTCGTACAGTTCATGGTTTCAGTCATCGAAAAATAGGATGGCGGGGGAGAGACAACAAATTATTGGAGAGGCCGCATGATTGGTTGGGTCGTATTTTATATTGCTTTTAGGGCACGGGAAACTGGACGCCTTATGCACTGAAAGTGATAGCCTTAATGCACGAGCGCAACTCAGTGGGTGTTTGAGCGATATCTGTCAGTGTCCCTAACCACGGATAAGTTGAGCATCAGGGTTCCCATTCAGCGGGTACTTGTCAACCCGACTGAATTTGTTTTTTCATACTTCCTTGTCACGCCATAGGTTGTCTACCTCTCGCTCGCTTCGGGTGAACAAAGAACTGGCCTAAAAGGGTGAAGTAAACTGCCTCCCAGTATCCGAAGTACAAATCCAGGCCAATCTAACCTAGAGTATGCGTGGCTCATTCATCATGGTGGAGATCCGTTTCCATAAAACCATCTGGCGTACATCAGCGCATCTTGGATGTCACGTTTATAAGACTAATACCAAAAGGTCGCCGGATGACGTGCTCGCGCCCTTTTGGACCACTTGGATTGCGGTCGGTGCGCCTCATTATTCTTCTGTTCGCTTCCCCTCCAAACATTCCGCAGTGGCGACGTCCATTTGACCTCCAGGACTTCATCACATACTTCGAAAAGTGCGGCATGCAGAAAATCCGGCTGGGTGCTTCGGCGGGTAATTTTTGTTTTTGAAGGCGGGCTGGTGTCGATGCTCCATTCAGGCTCTTTGGGTTCTCCCATAGAATGCGTCAGACTTTCCGAAAGTGCTTGCGCTTCTCTTGTAAAAATCGAGAACGCTATCAGCTACATATTCCAGACCGGCGAGGATCTTGCTCGGAGATGTCTGGACACCGGGGTTACAGTGATCTTTCAGTGTTCATCCCACTGTTTCATCGATATCGAAAGTCGGGGTGTGGGGGAGGGGTGGATATCCTTGCCGGGCATCACTTGTTGT